CCTAATTTGGCCTAGTTACCTTTAGCGGTTGACTTACCAGAAAGCCAAACGGCGTAAATTCGGAACCTGAAAGGTAGCAAGCATCGATTGTCTTTACAAAGATACCAATAAGTTGTTATTATCTAGGTAGGTACTTACTTTGCTTCACATGTAAATAGCAAAGAGTAGGTGCTTCTAAAGGAAGTACGAGACTTTGCGTACACCTTAGGGTTTTCTAAACACTGTGCATTGATGACCTGATGTTGTATTTTTCAGCTAGCCAACCTACTACAGTAGGTACCTGCTAACTTCACAGTTGAATATTGGACTCGGGTTACGTAGACATCATCAGAGCTGGAAAGATCCTACCTTCCATAGGTACCTTCTTCGAACATGCCTCGAATCACGTGATATCGCGTTTTAACTCAGCGCGACCCAGACATGGGCAACGCGCCCTTGCCTTCGTTAGCTAAATCAATCATCTGCAGGTGCCTGGTTTTGTCACGGAAGAACTATCGCAGGGGAAAAAACAGCCTCATCTTCCAGAATGGTTTAATTATTGATTCAAATCACTGCATACCCGAGAATCCGCGCGTCACTACATTTATTCACCACGATGGACAGTGATGAGTTCGACGATGACATCGCTGATGAGGATTTCATTACCGCTCTTGATCAAGTCTCGTCTTCTATGAACGGACAAGGCAACACAAAAGCTTCACATGCAGTAATATCGCAGCCCTCAAATAAGCCAAGCTCTGCAGCTGTCGCAGCTTTGGAATTGGAGGATCTCCCCTCAGATGCATTCTCATCCCCAGAGCCACAGTCGAGATCGAATGTGTCTGCAGCAGCCTCGGCTGGTCGAGTCCCTCGAACAGGGCTCAATCGAACAAGTTCCGGAAACTGGCGTCAGACGACCCTTTTTGGCGGCTCATTATCAAGCGATGGCCCGCACCCTTCGCAGCCAGCAGCGGCGACAAGAGTGTTCCGCGTCGATCTTCCTCGAGAAGAACCAACTCACCATGAAGTCGACACTGAGGCTATGCAGACATGGGTTTATCCCACCAACTTGGGCGCTATTCGAAACTACCAATTCAGTATCGTCAAAAACAGTTTGTTTAACAACACCCTAGTAGCATTGCCAACAGGTCTTGGGAAAACTTTTATTGCTGCAACCGTCATGCTCAACTTCTATCGATGGACCAAGAAAGCCAAACTAGTATTCGTTGCTCCAACAAAGCCCCTTGTGGCACAACAGGTCGATGCTTGCTACAATATTGCGGGTATCCCACGGTCTGAAACAACACTGTTGACAGGCGATATCCCTCCAGCTCTCCGTGTTGATGAGTGGGAGTCACGTCGAGTCTTTTTCATGACTCCCCAGACGCTACTAAATGATATATCACACGGATATGCCGATCCAAAATCCATAGCTCTGTTGGTCATCGATGAGGCTCATCGCGCGGTTGGAGAGTATGCATATGCCAAGGTCACAAAACTCATTCGACGATTCTCCAAGAGCTTCCGAGTACTAGCATTGACTGCCACACCTGGCTCAAAAGTCGAGACAGTACAAGAAGTCATCGACAACCTAGGCATATCTCATTGCGAAATACGCACAGAGGACTCAATAGACATTCGTCAGTATGTTCATCAGAGGAATATCGAACAGGTTGTCCTTGATCCGTCCGACGAAATGGTCCTAGTCAGCGAACTTTTCACCAAGGCCCTGAAACCGATGACGGATAAACTGAGCTCGCAAAATATCTGGTTTGGGCGAAGCCCGATGGCTATCACAGCATACGGATTGATGCAATCCCAAAGAGAATGGTTCGCTTCTCGAGGGAGGCATGCGAACCAGGGCGTGCAACACATGATGCGGGCGGTCTTCAGCGTTCTTACCAGCATCGCACACTCGATAAAATTGCTAAACTTCCACGGTATTAAGCCTTTCTATGACAATCTTGTCGACTTGCGTAGCGAACAGGAAGGCAAAGGAGAAAAGGGTTCCAAGTACAAGCGTCAACTGATTCAGGATTCTAATTTTCAGGAGATGATGGATAGAATTTCCAAATGGCTTCGTACGGAAGGGTTTGTGGGACACCCCAAACTCACAGCCTTGGCCGATACTGTGTTAAATCACTTCATGGACCAGAGTGACAATTCTGCGACTCGTGTAATCGTGTTCAGTGAATACCGAGATTCTGCTGAAGATATTGTGCGCATGCTGAATAAACATCAACCTCTTATCAAGGCCAGTGTCTTCGTTGGACAGGCTGACGGCAAGAGAGGAGAAGGCATGAAGCAAGCACAGCAAATTGAGGCAATCAATAGGTTCAAGAGGGGTGATTTCAACGTGCTCGTTGCTACCTCAATTGGAGAAGAAGGACTGGACATCGGCCAGGTCGATCTAATCGTCTGCTATGATTCCTCGGCATCCCCAATTCGAATGCTGCAACGAATGGGAAGAACTGGCCGAAAACGAGCGGGTAACATCGTGCTGCTACTCATGCGTGGCAAGGAAGAGGATCAATTTGCCAAATCTAAAGACAACTACGAAAAGATGCAAACACTAATTTGCGAGGGAAGTCGGTTCAATTTTCGATTTGATCTCTCGACACGAATCGTTCCAAGAGGGGTTGTACCCGAAGTGGACAAACGACACGTCGACATTCCTATCGAAAACACACAGGACCAGTCATTGCCAGAGCCGAAGAAGCGTCGAGTACCAGCAGGAAAGAAGAAGCCGCCGAAAAAGTTCCATATGCCTGACGGAGTTGAGACAGGATTTCAGAGTGTGGCGAGCTTGTTAAAAATTGGTGGGAAAGCAAAACAACAAAGCAACAAACGCAACCCGGAGCTGGGTGACCTCGCCACAGTGCCAGAACTCAGCAAGGTATTGCTCGATGAAGAAGAGCTTAAGGAGCTCAACCGGGCATACCGCAACTTGCCGTTCAATCATAGCATAATTGAGGAGACAGATATGCCTGATATGACAGCGCACCCAGAACTGCAGAGGCAGCTCAGACCAGTATTTAAGCTAAAGCATGGGACGCGCACCAAACGGTTTGTCAAAATGTGGCATAAGATGGCACATGATCCAGAAAGCTTGGTTTTGCCGTGTCGATACCAAGATAGGAGCAACTACTTGGAGATACCAGTACACGCATTTGCTGGATCTGGATCTGAAACCGAGCCAACAGATGAAACATCAACAACGAAAGCGAAAGGAATAGGAGTGAAGGCGTCAGTAAAGAAGAAACAAAATAGAAAGCCACCTTCGAAGGCACAACCTAGTGCAAAAAGAAGGAGACTGTCGTCCGATTTAGCACCGCAAACATTTGCTGCTGGCTCCATGGTGGAAGAGGGCCTTTCTGAAGAGGATGATGAAGAGGACGAGGACGATGAAGAGGACGAGGTCATGCCTAGAGGCCGTGGGCGACCAAAACAAAGCAGCAAGCCTGGATCGAAAGTGAAGCGAAGGCCTCGGCAAAAGAAAGGTGGACTCAACAGCGACGAAGTCGGTGACGATTGTGAACGCGACAGCGATATGAATGAGACTGATGGATCCGATAATGGCGAAGATCTTCTGGACTTCATCGTTTCTGACAATCACCCGGTGTCCAGCGGGATGGAGCGCGTTTCTCTACGAACCAGTTCTCCACCCGTTTCATCAACATCCACTCCAGAGTGTGCCCATGATAAATCAACAAAGCCATTCTATGTGCCGACTCAATTCCCAGGAACGCAGGAGAGTGATGATATTCCAGACCTCGGAGAAGTTCTGAAGATGACCGGGAAGCAAAGAGGCCAGGACTTTTCCGACGACGATGTTACTGTAAGGCGCACAGCACGTGGAAGACGAGCTGTTGTGGATGAGAGCGACAGTGACTGATTCGTACAATGGCCTGCAGAAGGATTTCCGGGAATTGGCAACGAGAGAAGTCACTAGAAGAGGCGCATCATGATGTAATGACAAATGATACATAAGCTATATAGACTACCTATCTGAAAGAGTAATTGATGGATGGGCGAATCGTAGCAAGGGTGTCATTGCTTCATCTTGATCCTAACCGTGTCAATTCCTTCCCAACCACTCACTCACTGGTGTAGATCCTGTGTATTGGTCAGCCACGTATATATATATGATAATCGAACATAACAATGTGACAACATCTCGAAACTTCAGAAACCCAGTTTATAAGCACCACCGCCCCCGACGCATCTGCCAGGCTCACCGACCGCCCGCCCGCTCATGATTGTCTCCGCGTGCAAACACGCTCGAGAGCGGCGCACAGCAGAGACGAAGAGAAGAGCATCTTGTTGGGAGCTTAGCTGGCAAATACATATGCCGAAAGCAGTCTCAGACGGCTCTTCCTATGAGAAATGGAGGGTTGAAAAAAGGAGCTCATCATGCGAGATTATACAGGAAACAAGTGTGGTGTAACTTACAGGTGTAAATGTTGCTGTGATGCGATGCGTTTTGTTAAGAGTAGAAAGAAGGAAGAGAGAAATTGCAGAATCACGAACTAGAGTTTTCTACGCCGACAGTGGAGAAACAATTCCCTAAGCGACGTGGTCCACTTTAGACGCGGAGGCGCCAACTTCAAACGCGTGCTTTCTACTCCCTACCAAAGCCTATAGCACCCCAAGACTGGGGGAAAAAAAGCTCCGACCTTGATGAGAAATACAGATAACAAATTACTAACCCATTAGTCTACTTAAGTGCCTATAGGTAATGTACGAGGCTTACAGTAGTGTATAAAAAGGCCTAGCCTTAATTACCCCTCCTGACCCCACTCCCGGGCACTCACACAAACAGCTGGGGCGGCTACTGGCCACTCCGGGGAAAGGATAATCCTAGCTTTCATGGTAGACCATCCGTACCTAACCACTCCGTACCAACCCATTAATCACATCATTACTTGTTACTAGTCTATCCACCCAGGGAGATCTTGCTTATCCATTAACATTGTCGAGAGAATAGCAAGACCCATTGACAAAGAAGCAAGCTATTAGCCATGACTGCGACAGGAACGAGCGTTTCGCTCCTCAAGTTTGTAGGCACTGTCTCGCTGGGCTTACTGACGGTACGTTCAGATTCTAGCATTGACCCGACCCTAGCAGCTTGTGCATCAAGTGATGTCACTGAATTCTATCTCATTTACGCTGGCAAGCAAATGAACATGGCATATACCTTTGTCGTGCCTCGTCGTTTACTGCTTCGCATACCATCGGGTTCTTATCAATCTTTGCTAATCTTTGTCTTCTAGGGTGTCTCTTATTCTATTACCTCTCTCACCCTTCCTGTCCTACTCCGACTTCCTTCTTCAAACTCCGCTTCCCACGGTCTCGCCTCTCTGAACGCTGCTCTCAAGACACCTCTCCTCGCCCTCACTTCTCTCGCCGCCGCGCCCTTCCTCATTAGCTTTGCTCTCGCTCCCCGCTCGTCTCGCCACCCTTACCTTCTCTATACAGGTCTCCTCGCCACCCTCTCATTCGTTGCTCCCCTTCTGATCCCTGCGCCTGCTACCCGACATGTCGCATCCTCGGCGCCTCGGCAATCTCCAAGAGCTAAAATGGAGGCTAGCTACGAGGTTCTAGGCGACGCTCACAGTGAGCCTGCCAGTGAGGAAGATATCGATGATATCAACGGCGAGGGGGTGAGAGTGGAGGTAGAGGGCCTCGTCCACAACTACATTGCACGAACAGCCTTCTCTGCTCTGGGTTTCATCATGGCAGTTATTGGAATCTGGGGTGATGGTGCACCTCAGGCAGTTGTCTATGTCTCATAAGATGGTTTGACACACTTTTGCGATTTGTTTTACGAGTTGAGAGAGATTAGTTAAACATAATGGCGTTCCCATTTTCTTTTGATATTTCATGATTAGTTAGGACCATCTCATATAAATAATTCATCTTCGTCTCGTAATGTGAAAAAAGTGAGAGAAACATGACTGCCGTATAATAAGTAAATAAAACACAAAGTCCCCCAAATGCAAGCTTGGTGAGAATCGATCGGAGACTTGATGCATATTTGACAAGGAAATCAGATCCTTTGCCTTGATGGCCACAGCAAAGAGACACCACTCAATATAGTGATTCTCAAATATCGGAACTTTCATCGGACTCGGAAGAATGATCGTAATCAGAGCCTGACGAAATACTTTTTGAGCCATATCGTCGCTTCGTCTCCCATGCTTGAGACAAACGAGACTTCATCTCCTGAACCGCAAAATCAATCGTCGTGCTGGACTCCTTTTCCTCGGGATCGACTTCATCGTCATCAACCCGAGCTTGAACGCTGAAATACCTTGATGCTGAGTACTTCTCACCCAGTCTCTTAGCAACATCATTTGCTTCGTTCAAGCTTACCAACCGGCGTTTCCCGGGATGCTGCTTCATTGTGGTGCGGCAGAGGTCCCATAAAACGAGATCGATGCTTCGGGATTCGAGCCTTTTGCTTGAACGATTCTTCTCAACGCCCATGGATACCAAAATCAGAGGAACTTCCTGTGGCTTGTAGGTATCACTGAGCCCAAGACTCTCGAGCGATCTCCTCTGCTCTTGTGAATGAGCGTCCAAGGCAGCCTCCTTAATAAACTCCTCCGAGTTCTTTCGCAAGATATCTTGGACGCGATTTCGATCTTGAATGCTGGGCTTGTCAGGCATGGTAAACTTCTGGCTAGTGAGTTTGTCATGTGCGAGCTCAGCAGGAGTCCGGCCGACAGCGTTCTCACGGTAGACAAGGCTAGGCTTGAATTCTACCAAGACGCGAACAGCGGCAATCATGCCAGTCATAATCGCTGTGTGAAGGCACGTATCCCCTGCACCGTTGAGCATCTCGAGTTCTTCACCCTTGGAATACTCGAGAAGGAGCTTGAGCATCAGGACCGATTCCTTCTCACGGCCAATATATGGCTTAGCATACCCAGAGACGTTATATCTGCGGTAGTTGTAGTGATTGTCGGTACCAAGCGTCATTCCTGAAACTTGGGAAATCCAAGCGTGTACGGGGGTGGTACCGTTCTCGTTGAGGTTCTTTCGCTGGAGGAAAAGATGACCACGAAGGTCTGGGTCCAAGAGGTCCAGAAGCTCACGAAGCTGATGTGCCTTGGGGTTGCGTTCGATTGCTGCATGGAGGAGGTTTTCACCCCTTTGATTCCGAGTCGACTGATCCGCATTGGCTGCCAGCAATATTTTGACAGCGTCGATTCTTCCAAGGCGGCAAGCTACCATCAGCGGTGTATCACCCTCAGAGTTCTTCTTCTCAATGAAATCTGGGCAAGCTTCAACAAGATACTCAAGCAGCTCGTTAGCATTGCCTCCAGGATGCGCCAAAACCGCGCAATGAATCACGAGATCGTCTGGTCACAGAGTCAGTACTATTTGCAAAGACTTTTGTTCAAATACTTACTATCAGCTCCAAGCCACTTGGATATTGCGCGGTCGAATCCGCCAGGGCTCTCCTTCAAATGCTTGAACCTTGAGTCCTCCTTGGAGGCCTTGGACTTGGCAAACTCGCCATACAACCTATGCGGGGCATCTCCAAGGAAGAGCTCGACGCTCTCGACGCTACCACCCAGAGCAGCATGGAGAAGAGGGGGCGTCCTCAGGCCGCTGCTCTTGATAACCATACCACGACCAGCATTTGCCCAATCTTTTCTGTGGAATGAATTAGTGGAGAGTAAATAATACGATGGACGTTACTTCATACCTTTTCCTGCCGTAGACGGTCAATCCCTGGTAATATCGCGGCTTTTGCTTCAGCTCAACACCACTTTTCTTGACGAGATGATCGAGTGGTATGCCTGCCCCAGTCCGTTTTATCACTAATGCGAGCAATTGAGTCTTCCCGTGTTCAACTGCCCACTTGAAATCCGACTGGGGAAAGGTAAAGCCGCAGGTCGAGCCTTCGTCCTCTTGATCGGCGTCATCGCCTTCAAACTTCTGACCTGAATAGTATTGTGCCAAGTCCAAAAGGAGCTTGAGGCCAGTCGTATCGTTGGCGTCGAACGTGTGGACGAATAAGCTCCTCTTCTGATATCGGTACACAACCTTCCCCTTCTCAACCAACCAGCTTGGAACCGATTCGCATAAGATCTGGAGGGGTTTGGTATGAGACTCCACCTCCATGGAAACATGCCCGATATCGTCGATGGTGAACTTGTCCTGCACTTTTTCAGACACTATTCGTGGTTCGTTCTCGCTGGAGCTATCAGAGCCATCGGAATCGGACTCATACTCCTCGTCTTCGTTGCCAGCCTCCATTCTGAAGCGGACCTTATCCTTTTTGGGTGGAGACCATTGTGCCTTGACAATTTCAAGCAAAGCCCTTGCTAGGTCATGGTGTCCTCGAAGGAAGGCTACCGAGAAAGGAGTGTTGCCCATGTTATCCGAGACAGCAATTTTGAGCGGTGGTTGATCCTTTTCGGCACCCCATGCCTGAAGAGAGAGCTCCTTGACCTTCTCAATGTCTCCCGCCCACGTAGCCTCCATTCTGTTCCAATTAGATAAGACAATGAAACGTGATCTGGATTTACTTACAGCTCAATGTAACCATCTCTTCTCCTTTCCGTCATATCACGGTCATTGTTGAATGAGAAGTGAAACTCGAAAGGCTTGATGGCCTTTTTCTCGTCCTTGGTTCGGCTACTTGTGCTTGAGGGGTTGTTCCTCAGATTCGTTTTGATGTCAGGATGTAACTCATCGAAGGTTTTACCACCTCGGCTCATGAGTTCTGCTTCAAGGGCTTGGAAACCTGCTTCCAGCTCCTTGATTGCTTCCAGCTTTTCCGGAACTCCTTTAGGCTCTGGATTCTTCTTGATATCCTCCTCATAGCGCTTGAGACGAGACGCGAACGATCTATTTTGACTCTCAATTTGCTCTGAAACAACCCAATACGAGTAACTTCCAGGAGTGAAGTGGCCTAGGAATTCATCCATCCCTGGGGTCTCCCTTGGTTTCACAGGTCCGGTCGTTTCAACGTTGAATCCACGAAGACGCTCCAGCGACTTCTGGACCAGGTCCAACGCTGATTGGCCCTTGTTCCAGTTTCTCTGGTACTCATTGAAAATTAGCCGATGTGTCTCTGTATTCAGTGAATTTGGGTCGGCGCCGCTTTCAAGAAGTTTGATTGCAACATCTGTACGACCAGATCGGATGGCGGTGATCAATGGCTGTTCCACAGTCTCCTTATACATCTTCTGGTTGGCCTCCAGATTGCCCAGGCGTCCAGACATATCAGAGACCTTGGCGGACTTCAACCAATTATCGAAGTCGATGTGAGCTGCAGCACCAGTAGTGAGTAGCTTCAACACCAAAGCAACATCACCACTCTGAACTGCAGTGTTGATCGGAGCAATAGTCTCTGCGTTCCAATAACTTCCATCGCAGACCATGTGATTGATAGCTGCCTTTATGCCCGTCTTGTCGTTATCCAGGAGCGTATCGATGAGTTCCACCTCTCCAGATTCAACAAATCTATGGAAAGCAGTGCATCCTTTTGAATCAGCTTGGGCAGATGTCGCGCCGAGTCGCATGAGGAGATTTGCCATCGATTTGGCCTTGTCATTAGGCAGTGTCAAGGCCAGAACCAGTGTCAGAATTACACGACTGTCGCCATGTTCCGCGAGAGATTTGACGGGTAGAATCGAATCGGTCCCGTACTGCGTAGTATTTGTCAGTAGAAACTCTTTGAAATCTAGATTAGGGGGTCAGATTGATTTCACTTACGTCACAAAGAACCCTGACAGCGTCCTCGTTGCCTTCTGCAATGGCAAGATGAAGAGGAGAACACTGGAGATCCCATGCTAAGGCGTCGACATTGAAGAAATCCGGCTCGTCTTGTGACTCTTCGGGGACAAGATCCTCAGCATTCTCAGCTTCAACTTGCTTAATCTTGACGAACGACCCAGTAGTCATAGATGCGGCATCGGCATCTGTTGTCTCGTCATCAATCATCTCGCCATCGGATTCTCCATCTGGATCTAATGCAACGTCCTTGTCACGAACCCCGCCCTTGTCTTCAGAACTGGCCTTCTTTGCTGCTCGGCGCTTCTTGTCCTGTCGTTCCTCTTCAGCCTCTTCGTTTTCGATTGACTTCTCCATCAAGATTTTGATAATTTCCACATCACCTCGTGAAGCAGCGAGGTGCAGGGCATTCCTGCCGTCCGCCAGTCGTGCAGTCAGCCGGGCGCCGCGCTCAACAAGGCACTTAATGACCTCAGGCGTCGATATCATTACAGCAAGGTGTAGAGGGGTTCTGCCGGTATAGTCTCTCTTGTTAGGATCGGCATCTTCCTGGCTTAGCCAATTTGATACGTCGTCAACGTCACCATCGACAATTGACTGGCAAAGCCTGGTAACGTTACCCACGTACGCCATATCAGTCCAGTCTTGCTCAGTCAGGGGGTTGAAAGAACCAATTTGCTGCCGGCCAGGGTCATCGATCAAGAAGCAGACTTTGCCTTTAATATAAATCTCAGCCTCCTTCTCTGCAACCTCCTTTTCCTGGTCCGTAACGGCCTCTGGGCAGCAGCCACAGCAGTCTTCGATCACATCTTCTACCCGCCCAAAGAATGCAGGGTGACGATGCAGGTAAACCTCTCGATCATCAGGCTGGTTCCATTCTGCATTGAGGAGAAGATCGCGCGTATAACAGAGTTTCTCTATCCGCTTGGCATTGAAGTGCTGCCCATAAGGCACAGTGAAGGTATGATAGTTACTGACGTCCTCTTCAGACAGCCAATCAGCAATTTCATCCTCATGGTAGTCCTTGATGTTGCCGTGGAGG